TGCCATCATAACTCGCGAGTTCGGGCGGCTTATATACGTATATTTGTAGGTAATTAGTAGGTACCTATAAATACACAACATACCTAAACATAAAAGTTTATTATATGTAGAGTTATTTGAAATGATTCTTTACATTTTAAACACTTGAATAATCTTAGTATTAATAGGTTAAGGTAGTAATATTTATGATACATTGAATTAATAAATTATATTTAAAATTGTATAAATGGTAGGTATAGGTTTTACAGATACAATTTTCTAAATGGTTACTCTTGGTCATACAACCAACCTAACATAGATATTAGATATGAACTTCAGTCATTTTCATGCACCTCTGTGGTAATTACAGACTCTGTTAATTTGCTTAGCTCTTGTTGACGCGGTAATGGCGTTATGTACGCATAGTACGTGCACAATCAGACGATTTTTGACATATTCCCAAAAGAATTAGTCATACGGCGTAAGATAAGGTGCCCTAGGGAGTCAAGTGCTGAGCATCAGATGAATCGTTTTGAATAACAAAGTGCATGATATTTATAAAAAATGTTTAAAAAAGTGTTGATGACACGTGTCTTTAACAGGCACGTGACACCTTTAGATTAGTACACGGGGGTTCCACTTTATAAAAATAAAATAATAATACGTTTTGGATCACATTATATTCAATATTGCATAGTACATCCCCAACACATGTAATGTCACTAAGAAATGGGTATAATATATTATGATAATCATACAAGTGCCAGCCGTCTCTGACAGATATCTTATATCGACTGTACGTACTGTTTCTACTTTTTATTATGTAGAAAATACAGTTCTGAAAGTCAAAAAATTATTTGAGCTCGGGTATTGGAAGTACTAGTGAGGAGACTTGTCCACACTCCACTCCCACCAAAGAAAAAAATATACAATTCCCAATAAAACGATTGAAAAATAATTTTAAGACTTTAAATTTACGAATATTGTTTATAGAAAATGGTGGTAACTGTTAAGTAGGAAGATACATTATATTGAAATTAAAATAATAATACTGAATGTTTAAATAAATATTTTGACTAGGTACCTAATGGGTACATAATAACTACCATATTCTCGAGCACGAGAACTCGCCAAAGCACACAATAAAAATACGTAAAAAATCTCAATGTTTTCGAAAAATATGAATTCAATCTAAGTATTACCTATTATTATTAATTATAGGCTAAAGTAATATTAATATAATATAAAATATAACAGACTAACACCCAGACGTAGCCCCTTTGGCCCAAATATTGTTGCTGTATGATTCCTTCTACGCCAGTGGTATGCTCAGCTTTTTCTTGAGGTGGGGGGGGGGGTGGGGAGGAGGAGGATGAACTGTATTTTGTAATAGTCATAGTCTCATAAACACAAATTATCAAAATATTCTTATTGGCGAATACCGTTGATACATTGATTTTAGGAATTAGGAGGGTAATGAGGTACAAATCACAACGTTATATTATATACACAATACAGGTAACATATTATTCAAAATTAACATTTTATAAAATGTAAATTTAGATTTCAGAGATGTTACAATTGCCTAACCTAAAGTACTTTTTCAAGTTTTCTTGGCTTCTTGGACATTTCATCTAAGATCATCTCTAGTAACTCTAGTATCTTTATGCACAGCCAACAATCCATTCAAACTATCCTAAAATAAAATGTTAGTATTTTTTGAATGTTAGTTGGACTTGAACTAAGTTTAAGTTTAAGAGTGTAATGCTTCAAGCAAACACTTCTTCCAAACACACTACATACTTAATTTTTTTTCTGAGTAAATCAAAACTATCGAAGAACTATGAATTACGCATAAAAAAAGTTCATAGGGGGGATATATGACACCCTCGTCCCCCCGTGAGCACGCCCCTGTTCTACGCCCAGGTTTGAGCGAAACTGATGCCGCGATAATGTAGTAAGTACATGTTTTTACCTTGACATTTTTTAGTTCAGGGATGTTAATTAAATGTAATTAAATTAAATTAAATCTAGTAAATTTGTCCAACCTTATGTTGAAAACGTGTGGCCCTGCTCATCCAGGATAAACATCTTTATATAACTGTTGTACTGATGTGTAATAAGTCAATAATATAAATCTTTCGGTATAGTCTGTTAAAAATATTTACGTTCCCTCTACTTTTAACTATATTTTTTTAAATATTTTATTCGATAAAGGTGTCCCATAAACGGCATAAACCTTAAATGGAAATGAATCCTTGTTTCATGAAATATATATATAAATGTTCCATATACCTATACAACAATGTTATAACAAAACACTGTAATTCCAAATAAATCTTAAAAATAATTTAAAGCATTTGCTAGTTGATGATTTTTTTATATCTTCAAATGTATGTTAATATTATTAATTATTATTTTATGTATTAAAACTATTTTGGACTCTTAAGAAGTATAACAAAATAAAGTACGTATTCGCACGAGGTTGGTGAGTTGTAATATGGTTCATCTCAAGGTTCATTTGAGTATTCTGATGTTAGTTTTATATGAACTAAGGTCGAGCGTCATTTATTTTTGAAAGCTACCTCTCGATATATTATATATTATGCTCAATGGTTAAGGCTTAAAATATTCATTTCTAGAAACTATGTAAATATTAACTCTTCTTGGTAATACTATTTTATTATGCACTTTCTGTACTACCTACGAATGTTTGAAAACATGATATTATGCAACTGAAATTTTAATAATTATATACATAAACCGCTGCATTGTATATCATTTACAAGTTTAAGATGAGTAACTGTATTTAACTATAAAAGTAGTTGTTAAAAATTCAACAAAACAAAAAAAACTGCTTAATATAATATGACGAGTATACGACCATAAATAATCTTAAATTTGTCAAGGTTGCCACAAATAATAACTTTAAAAACCCACAGATAAAAATCAAAAGTCAATAGACTAGTTAATATTTTGTTACATCTATATGTTGTTAAATGAACTCAGTAAATGAAGGATCAAAATATAGTTATCTTCTTTTTATTTTAATACATGTATGTGGAATATATTAACGATGGTTTTGGCAATAATGTTTGTTACAGGTTGTATAAATATATATTTCATGATGTTTAGCTTAAATGTTGTTGCACTGAACACAATATTATATTTTTAGGTCATTGTAATTTAGTGTGGGGTATGTTTGTATTAAATTTCTCATCATGAGATACCGGAAAAATAAACTCACGACCAGCGCGCCATGTAGCCAAATTGCCTACTTAGAAATCCGTGTTATTATTATATAATTTTCGTTTAAGCTAAGAAACGAATTATTATTAAGCTAAAGTACTAACCTTTCATACATATATTAATTTCGTTACCAAAATACAAACCTCATACTTAGAACACAATATATTTTTATTCATTATCATTAAATTGTAATTGGAATTCTAATAAAATAAAATTGGTAATTAAATTATACTAAATTAGTCCTTCATTTACTGTCGAAATAATGAGGAAGAAGTCAAGACATCGTCATCGATATACCATAAAAAAACAGTCCTCTATTGATAACTACAAGAGTGTTTCAAAAAAAAATGTTTTCGATTTATAGAAAATCAGGAAAAATAATACAAATATTCTAGATCAATCTCGATTTTGAGTATGAAATCAAATATACCGAAACCAATAATTTTTTATAAGATAAGTATTTGAATATTATTATTATTAATGAAAAACTATGTTTTACCAATTTAAACGGGCATTTAGTTGATACATATTAATACGGAACTCAAGTATCATAGTGAGAGATTAGCCTTGAAGTGTTGGGAATCCATTCCATTTGATCCAGAAATACTGTTCAACGTGTTACACTTTTTTAATAAATGAACTCAAATAAATAATTATAAACAAATTGATTTATTTGTATGTCTTGTTGTAACTATAATTTATATAGTTATTATATTAAAAAAATTATTATTATGTATTTACAGAATTCAACTTTTATTTATAAGATGTAATTTATATTAAGAAACAATGTACTTAATTTAAAAATTGCATTGTTATTGGATTAATTTATTTTTAGTTTTCAAAGTTTTTATTTTATTTTTTGAAAATGTATTCAATCTGTTTCAAAAAAGAACAATGAAATCAAATTGATTAAATATAATTCAATATATTAAAATATAAAGACGGATTAAACAGACTATAGAAGCCCATCAGTAGAGGTACTACGACACGATAGAATTAGTTAGTTTGAATATCAGGTCACGACACCACTCTATATTAATTTGGCATTTTGTTTAGTATCGAAAATATTGGAGATAACAGAGGTGAGGACCACGACTAGAAGATTGATAGCCAATTTAAAAACATCCAGGAACTTTGAGAAAACGACATTATCGATTTCAAGAACGTGTTTAATGTAGAATTGGTTGTGTGTGGTGTCGTTACATATTACATTGGTGTAGCCAGTGTGGGATCTGTTATGTGAGTTTGACAGAATATTAGTGAGATATTTGATGATGCTAGGCGTTGAATAGGCTGCTTTTGTTGTTGTTTCTGGTTGAGATTAGTCGAATTGAATCAAATATTTGTTTACCTAACTGTCCAATATCCTTAACAGTTGCGTTATAAAAGATTCTTGTGGAATGTCCACATCTAAAGAGTAAAGACTGTTAGGTATGGTTTATATGAGTTCTACATGGAATTAAATGTTTACTCTGAGAATCGGTTTAGACATGAATGGAATGTAGTACAACTTTATGAACATCATTAAAAAATCGGTTTAGATGCAGACACAATAAATGACACAAAAGTAGTTGTCCATTACTTGATATTTCCGTTGATGTGAATAAAGCGTTTGATTATTTCAAAAATTAAATATAATTAATGAAACGATCAAAGTAAAAATCAACAGCATTTAAAAAAACATAAACAAGATTCATCATTCTTTCGTTTTTTTTTTTTATTATTTTATTAAAGATGACGCTTCGATGACGTGCTCGTTTTCTTGTTTTACACATGGATACTTAAATAATTTAAACTAAATTGTACAATTTAATATTTTACATCCATAATAATATATTTTGGATGGATTCTTCGTCAGGGCCCAAAGCGTCGTGAAGTTGCTCAGGTGTGTTGAATTTTCGTCATCCTCTTGTGTGTCTCTACATTCTGTAAATAAGTGTTTGATCGATGTTGGATATCCGCATGTAGGCTTATTCTTGCTTTTTATTTTTTTCATGAGATGGCCATGTGTATAGTATGTATGACCAACCATTCGTTTTGCTATTTATTTGTAACTCGGATGTAGATTATTTTTGTTATATTTTTGTATGATTTTATTTTGCAGAGGATCCGTTGATTATTCGTTCATTGATTTTATATATTTTATTAAAACCGATACGGCCGTGTAGCAATCACCCATGGTCTGTAATAAAAAATGAATAAAGTTCATTTATAATTTTGGATGAAATGTATGGTTTTTTGATTCAAAGCGAAGCAATGAATGTATTTTTTATACAATACTGAGTGTTTTTTATTTATTTGTGTATCTGCAATCTGTACACTAGCAAAGAAAAATACATCTATTTTTAACTTTGTAGATCTCTAGTAGCTTAAATCTCAAGTATATTAAAAATGTATCCTAAGTATACATAAACAGGAAAAAAAAATATAACTAGAATGTGATAAATGGTGCGTCTGATCGTCCAATTTTATAAATCATTATTTATCAGCCTAATCAAATCAAAATATCAATAAATAACTTGGTATATGAACAGATTGAGGTTTTAGAACATTTTAGAATTATTTTATTCAATAAAATAAGAGATAATGATTACAGAATGATTGTTCCGTAAAATAATTAAACAGGAATTTTAAGATACTCTTTACTCACCTTAAAAAACATCTCCAAGTTTACAATTTTCGTTCTAGTAAATTTTAACTTTTGGTAATGAGCATTATGCATTTTCATTGTTAATAAAATCATTTTTCTACACCTTATATCCATTTTGGTCCAATTGCTGCTGTACAATGCCAATACTATTGCATCTTTCTTTAATAAATAAAAATATAATATAAATTTAATATAAATTATTGATGAATATATCGCCAGAAGAAGGGGAAAAATTGGATGTACCATTGATAAGTCTTTTAGAGTATGCAAGCGACATAGTGCTTTTAAAGAACATTGAAAAGTCTATGCATAAGACTCATATCAGCAGCAAAAAGAGTGGGCTTGCAAGTTGAAGAAGAGAAAGCAGAACATATGGAAATCAGAAGACATCTGGATGGAACCCAAACAGACGAGTTCTTAAAGGTAGGATCGTTTAGTTTGAAAATTAGTATCAGAATTAAAATTCCTAGGGACAATGATCATCCAGTCAAACAATATGGAGTATGCGAGATACTAAAAATTTACAATAATCAAGATTGAGGATTTTTGAAAGGAAAATATTAAGAAAGATACGCGGACCATGCCGCCACCATTTATTTGGAAAATTTGGTAAAATAAATAAAGATGAGCTATGTAACATGAAAAACAGATTCGATTTATTTACTGAAACATAAATAAACTAAAACTGGAATTGACAGGTCATGTGTAGAGAACATTTGAAGCCATGATAAAGACGGTTCTTCAAGAGAACCTAAGAGGAAAGAAACCGAATGCGATGGGAGTATTGTGTCAAGAAGGATGTAGCAGAATTTTTCCCGGATGAAGATTTGCATATTATATAGGATGAAAACCTCCACGAATGGAGGCGTTTGTTTGCATGTGTAAGCTCAACGGCAGTAAACAAAAATCTATTAAAATCTTTTCAATCAATGACTTAATAAAATTGATGAAAATGATAGTAGTATTAATACATCGTGTACTCATAGTTCTTCCCAATCGTGAAGAAGAATTAACTATTCTTGATTTTTAATACAAGTTAAAAGATTGCAATGCAAGTATCAACAATTCATCATTTGAAAAAAAACTCATTGATTTCATTATTATTATCTATGACTACTCATAAGACGTACATGCTTGATTAAAAAATATAGAACTCTAAAAAAAAATGCATTTCAATTTACTTGATCGTGTAAATATCCAAATAAATAACACTCCATATATATCTGAATTGAAAGTGGAGGGATTGCGGAAAGAATTTTTATTATTGCAACATCCGAATACATATATTTATCCACGTCGGAGAAACTCTGAAATAATTTTACTCTTTATAAGTTTGCAACTTTTAAACTAATTTATACATATCGAGCATACCTGAACCTCAATATTATATAACTTTCAATATTTTGTATGTTAATGGACAATGGGCAAAAGAAACGATTGATTATTTTATTTTATTATTTATGTTATATTTTATTTATTTATTATACTTAAACGAAATATTTTATTTACTTTATACACTAAAATCATTTAAAAAAAACGCTTTTCGTGTTTATTATATAGATAACTTAAATGTTGTAAGACATGTGATCCACAATAAACATTTATTTCTTCAAAAATATTGATATTTATTAAAATAAAAATTAATAGATATCGAAAAAAAAAATGTATGCAATCTTTGTAGAAGAATAACATAATACTTTGTCTTCCTTTAATTTGTTTATTACTTAGTTGGCATTAATACTAGTGAAAAAAATATATTTTGCCAATAAACTTTTGTTTATTATTTATTTATACACATAAATAGTGTATTTATGGTTGGTAATTTGAATTTGGAACTATTACAGTAATCCTTTAGGTTGAGAAATAAGGTGGATATTGAATTGCATGATGTGTAATTTTATAAGCCGAAAAGTAACAATAATAAAGTATAAATTGTTTTGAGTTAAAATCTGATATGATTTTAATAGTTGTACTTAGTTCGATTACTTCTAAAACATTACAATACGGATAATAAAAATATAAATTCATTAATTTCAAAAACTTTTTTATGGTATTCATTTCTATGATTTCGTTTGATTGAATAATAAATTGCATAGAAGCTAAATATAGATATGAGTTATATTGAACTCATATAATAATCGTGATGTAAATTAAGTTTAATGAAATTGTTTTACCATTATAAAAATGAACCAAAGTACGATGAGTGTTAATGACAAAACAACAATTTGTACCAATAGTATTCGTCCAAATAGAGTTAAAAAAACTCCATATTTCCTGAAAAAAATAATAAATGCAGACATTGTATGTAATTTTCTTATAAATATATCACTTATGATGTTTATTAGACAGAGATAAAGTGTTTTAAAGATATAACACCCCACGTCAAACAACCATATAACAGAAAAACTTTCACCATTCTTATGGTTGAACAGTAAATTTCTATGTTTCAGAAAAGGCGTTGATCTCTATGTAGCGATATTATAAAAACAATAAAAAATAATTTGAGTATTATTTCATCAGTGATGAATCATCATTCATCACTATTAAACTTAACGTGATTCCATCACCTAATTTGTATATCAAGATTTTCTGCATACAATTAGGATTAAATAGAATTTATTTGAATATTTTTAGGTTTACTCGTTATATATTTAATAATGGTTGAAGTCTTCATTCGGAGAACGTCTGGTGCACTGGCACTGGCTGATACGAACATCTTTTAATTAGATAATTTTGAAAATAAATTAAATTAAAAAATATACAGCTTATATATTATTGATATCGCTATCCCCAAAAATAAAATAATTTAAACCATTTTGTTAATTAAAAAATAATGACTATCATATACTATAGGCCTTAAGGTAGAGAATATTTGCATGCATATTTAATTAATTTAGAATTATTTTATAGCTAAGATGAAATAATATTTTATGATAATTTCATAAAAATAGAGAAATAATTCTTACTTCATAACTGCTTGGTAATCGATTACAACCGTTTTTAATTCACCATATAATAAATCGTTTTCGTTAGATTTATTTATTTTTTCATCTTTGTAATCTTAAATTCGACAAAACAATTATGTCAATATTTACCGTTGTTCGCTGACCAATTATTAAACCAACCTAATATGTAAGTGTACAGTTAATGTGTACATACGACATACCTCAAAAATTGTACTCACCAATTAGGGAATGTGAATCGTGAAACGATTCATGTCCGAGTGATTTGAACGCAATGCAAACCATTTTCATCTGACAGCACACAGCTAAACATAGTGTTACCAGAAGTATGTCAAATATGATGAATAACATTGCCACTGAGATGATGGAGAAGGCCTCCACGATATAAAATGTATTATAATGTGAGTTGTACGTTCTGTCAGAGACGATTAAATAGAAATTGAAGACGTTTAGGCGATATTGCATGAACGAACCGTCACGGTTTTTGATCGTGATCAATTCGTTACTGCATACTAAAGTGCTGATGATGTAAAAGATTATTGACGACAAATACGCTATAGTAAACACGGTAGTTAACCACACCGAACGTTTTCGACAAACTTCCAGTATTTTATGTCTGTCCTGGTGACAGAAAGATGTAAAACTGTAGCGAGTTATCGACAAACAGTTCCAAAAGTCGTTTGAGTGGTGGACGATTATCCACATCTTGTAACATATGAGCATAACACATTCCGCTTTCCAGAAAAAATCTACGCTTAAATACATATTAGACGTAAAATAATATAGACCGCTAACGTTCAAAATCATCGAAACAATACACGAGTACAGCACAATTAATGCTACGATAATGTGGTATATGTTTTTACCACGACATTTCACTGTTCCAGGATCCAATATTTGATATAAGCCTATTAGTTTGGCCAACCGAACGTTAAAAACATGGTTCTTCTCTTCCAAAGTGTCCATCAAAATATTTTAATATTATAATCACGTAGAGAAAATAAATATATAATATTTTGTATTTTATACGACCATCGAAAAATATACATACATACCTATAGATATATCCGGTATTTTAGTCAGATTATAAAATGTTACCAAACTATAAATAGTATAAAATACGTACTCATGGTTGGTGAGTGTAACATTGTACATTTAAGCTGTTCATTTGAGTCGTGCGGTCTTTGTGTGAAATGGACGAAGGTGACTTATTAATTTTCATATTAGGTGGCTCTACGATATACGTACTTAATTAGCATTATTTATGCATGACAGTTTAAGGTTTAAAATCATTATTGTCACGCAATTAAATACTTATCATATACACCAAAGTCCTTTACCATATAATTTTCTTTACTATGTCATCTATAATAAATACATATTGCACTCCCACGTGACGTTCTATCCGTACTGGATGCAATACGCCCCTACGCTAATACGTGCATTCAATTTACAATAAAATAATAAAGGAAATGTACGGTAAAGTGACTCTTTAAATAAAATGTTTTTTTAATTTTGTATTGCAATTTTTATAATTTATTAATTGCAATAATAATAAATATAGAATATACAGCCCTCTGTCTGAAGACAATTGTATAAAATATATCGCTTGTGTGCACAAAAAAATACAGTTTGTTTCCTTTTTATTCTCTTTGTCAAGTTCATAAATAAGTATATCTCCTGTTACTTATATTTGGTGATGGCGTGCTCATCCTATTATTATGCATATTTTAAAATTCAGATTTGAGTCATTGAAATTTTTGTACCACTTAAAGACGATCCTGTGACAATACAAACTTCAGTTTTTTCAAATATTCACCTCCCTTTTTCATTTTTAATTATGAAGTTGATTTTTTTTGAGAGTTTTAATTGATCTAAATCAAAATTGAATATGATTGAAATATGATTTATGATACATATCTGTAAATACATTACTAATACACTGTATAAGTATCTATATAAGTAAATTAAATATCAACTTTAGTAAAATTAACAGAAATTATTGATTTATAGTTTATACGGCATACAAAACTGAATTTCTGCATAAAAAAACAACAACATTGCAAATTTGCAACCCTTAATTGCAGCAACTACTTTTTTTGCAATATTTTTATCGTGGAGTATGTTTTTATATTTAATTAACAATGACAACAGTATGGACTTAAAAACAGTATTCTTAGGTTGGCAATTAACAACAATACACTGGCATCATTGAATTAATATATTCAGTAGGTAATAAAGTATCAAATAATTTATTAAACGTTTATCAATAAATTACCAAGATTTAGAAAATAGGTTAATCCAATGTTCGTAACATTTTATTTATATTTAGTCAATAATAATAGGTTTAGACTTTAAAAAAAAAGTCATAAAAAAGTCGTCGACAAATTTTAATATCTATGTATTATTTAATAATGCACTTTGTATACTTACTGTTGTAAAAGAAATAGTTTGCGTGTCTGGAACACCAATACCTCACACACATTTAAATATCTTGATATTTAAAATAGTATTTATCTAGATAGTTTTATTCCATATCGCCTATTTATGGTAGGTACAAAAGTGTGACGTGAAACGTGTAATAGTGTAATACGTAAATACTTTAAGGCTAAAACTGTAGCATCTAAAAAGTAATCAAATATGGATAAATGAAAATTACTGGTACTGCCTGTTTATCGTTTGGTACTATTTGTTCTGCTGAATATTAGACATAGAACATTTACCCGTAAATTAATAAATTATCATACAACGATTTTCTTATTTTGTTGTTACTCAAAAATTACTTATCGTATGTACTTACTTGAAATTTTCAGGTCCGTGAAGTTAGTGGGAAAATGTGAGCACTAATTTCCGCTATACCACCACTATTTAGTGCTCAATTAGTGCTAATCAACGGAACTGTTTTCAAAATCAGTGCTGTAGAAAGTCAAAAGTTACAGGTGGGCTTACCTTTCTCCGCTAACTTCACGTAGCGGGTTCAACACCAGCACCAAAATCCGCTATAGCACCAAAATTGAGTGCTGAATTAGTGCTATTCGATGGTACCGTTTTCAAAATTATTCTAAATTTTCTTCTGAATAATGATGTGTTTATTATTTTATTCCTTATATAATTTTTTAGTTTTATTTAACTTAATGTGTTTTATAACTTTTATTCTCTATAGTTTGTTTTACACCTAATTAAACTCAAATAATGTCATGAACATTTATTTTAATTGATTCATAAGATATATAATATATATGGATTCAAAGATGAGTCAAGAACCTGCATGGATGGTTCTAAAATTTGAACATAATTGGGCAGTAGAATATAATTGGAACAACATCAAACATACACTTAGGGAAACCATAATATTGATAACACATCAGTAATAACAAATCCTCAAGAAAATCTTCAGTGTGATTCCAAGACACCGTATATAGAATTTTATAATAGAAACTTTGAAAATGATTTTTTAGTTTTAAAGAATATAATATTTTGGATTCAAATAATGATAAATAATTATGAAAATCTTGTTGATAATTATTTTTGTAACACAAATATTAAATCTCCTTCAGTATTATCAAATTACCTTGAAATATATTATAATGTTAAGTATAATACTGCCGTCCCTTCATTCGCACATGTTGAACGGCATTTTAAGACTGAAGGACAGTTACTGAACAAGATAAGAGGATCAATGGCTGATCAACATTTTGATATGACACTGTTATTAAAATTGAATATATATTTTGAATAAATAAAATATGGTATAGCATACTATATTATAGAAGTTTTTATAATTTGTAAATGTTCGAATAATTTATTTGTTGAATTATACATTTTTAACAATACAGTAAGCATATTTAAACTCAAATTTAATTTTAAATGAATCCACAGTGAAATAAAATAGAACTCTAAAATGATTCAGCCTTACATGTTTCAAACTGCATAATATACATCATATTGAGAATCTATATTTATAGGTATTATATTACCTACTATAAAAATGATTATAATACTTTTCAATGCACTTTTTTTTCTATTAAATGAATTATTAGTTTTATAGTAGGAATTTGTTAACTTAGTTTGAACTTAATTGATATTTTAAAAATTACTATTACTTAACTTTTAATTTAATTGAAAAAAAATACTTAACTTACCTAATTGACTTAAAAAATACAAATAACTTGCCCATCCTTGGTTATGCGTATAAATAGGACAATAGGTACATACTTATTATATATAATTAGGTAACTAACGTTAATGAACATTATTGGTCCAAACTCTTAAGATTATGATGAAGTATGATGAATGAGTTAAATACAAAGATTAGAACACCATAATCGGTATAATTATATTTGACTACTGGTTTTATTCACAACCATTCGGATATTTTTCTTGTACACAAATTTAGAACGGAGCAAAATTGTGAACTAGAAAATTAACTTAAAAATCATAACACAGTAGGTAATAACGTTAATTAAAATAATAAAAATCTTACTATTTCCGTCCTGGACTATTTCATGTTTAAACTTAATTATTTCATTTTCGATTTGCTGATAAATTCAATTTTAGGCTTTCTTCCTCTATTTTCTCCTGACGTTTCTAGTAAACAGACTACTTACTAAACATGCATATTTAATATTTAATTTTTATAATTTGCAAGTAACTTGCTTTTTAAATTATAATTGAAACAAATTAATAAAATTAAAAAAAGTTTATAAAAGTATAATAATCGGCATGCTTTATATAATATACTAAACCAAAATAATAGTTTCTATCATAGCACAACCATGCGGTTTGAATAGTAAAATTATTTTGTACCATAAAGTATAGTACTCTTTCATATTATTATTAATCAATATTACTTATCTATTTTAAAATATAAATGCAAATCCACCGAATACAGATTTTACAATGTAAGAGATATAATATTCCACAGAACAGACATAAGGGAAGCTACCATTATTTTGTTCCCACTGTAACTCAGTAAGAAACATTTAAATGAATGTTAAAGCAAATGTTTTGATTGAGCTGGTTCAAAAAGTCAAGCTACCTCTTAAAAAAAAAAAATTTTTATTAAAATTGTACCTTAAAAAATGATGCTTATACTTAATCATTAATTAATATTTTTGTTTAAAACTTGAAACATCAACATGTGTTCCTGACATATTTCGATTTGACAATATTGCATATTGGCAGTGCTGAGGTAATGTTAACGCAGCATGGACATGGGAAATTTTTTTCGTATTAGGGGAGGTGTACAAAATTTTATAAAATAAAGTACACAATGCTGGATAATTATAGCTTATTTTGGTGCTGATGATGCACCAGCTGGGACGAAATATGGAAATCACATAACTCGAAGGGAAACATAGCACTAATTTTGAAAACAGTTCCGTTGATTGGCACTAATTCAGCACTAAATTTTGGTGCTATAGCGGATTTTGGTGCTGGTGTTGAATCCGCTACGTGAAGTTAGCGGAGAAAGGTAAGCCCACCTGTAACTTTTGACTTTCTACAGCACTGATTTTTAAAACAGTTCCGTTGATTAGCACTAATTGAGCACTAAATAGTGGTGGTATAGCGGAAATTAGTGCTCACATTTTTCCGCTAATTTCACTTACCTGAACTTTTCTCTAAAGAAGCAACACGATTCACAAAAAAATATCTCTTGAAATAACATGGTACATTTTTAGTTACATAATGAAGTTTTAAAATATAATCAACTGATTGGAAATTTAAAAATTCTATAGCATATAATGAGTACATATAATAATATAGACTACTATTATTGAAATCGGCAGTTCATTAATCAAGTGTTTTAAAGTCGCCAAGCTAAGTTCGATTACTTATAGCAAACTATTTTAACATAAATGAAATCGATAGTTTAAAGACTTATTAGGTATAAACATTTGATATTGCAATATTTAGGGCAGTTTTTTTTATGTGAGTTTGACAGAAGATTAGTGAGCTATTTGATGATGCTAGGCGTTGAATAGGCTGCTTTTGTTGTTGTTTCTGGTTGAGATTAGTCGAATTGAATCAAATATTTGTTTACCTAACTGTCCAATATCCTTAACTGTTGCGTTATAAAAGATTCTTGTGGAATGTACACATCTAAAGAGTAAAGACTGTTAGGTATGGTTTATATGAATTCTACATGAAATTAAATGTTTACTCTGAGAATCGGTTTAGACATGAATGGACTGTAATACAACTTCATGAACAGCATTAAAAAATCTGTTTAGTTGCAAACACAATAAATGACACAAAGACAGTTGTCCATTACTTGATATTTCCGTTGATGTGAATAAAGCGTTTGATTATTTCAAAAATTAAATATAATTAATGAAACGATTAAAGTAAAAATCAACAGCATTTAAAAAAACATAAACAAGATTCATCATTCTTTCGTTTTTTTTTTTTTATTATTTTATTAAAGATGACGCTTCGATGACGTGCTCGTTTTCTTGTTTTACACATGGATACTTAAATAATTTAAACTAAATTGTTCAATTTAATATTTTACATCCATAATAATATATTTTGGATGGATTCTTCGTCAGGGCCCAAAGCGTCGTGAAGTTGCTCAGGTGTGTTAAATTTTCGTCAGCCTCTTGTGTGTCTCTACATTCTGTAAATAAGTGTTTGATCGATGTTGGATATCCGCATGTAGGCTTATTCTTGCTTTTTATTTTTTTCATGAGATGGCCATGTGTATAGTATGTATGATCTACTATTCGTTTTGCTATTTATTTGTAACTCGGATGTAGATTATTTTTTTTATATCTTTGTCTGATTTTATTTTGCATAGGTTCCGTTGATATAGAATATTGGCTTTTCCAGGGCATGTATGTCCTCTGTTTCATTACTAAATCTATGTAATGACCGAGGGTAACCATGAAAATATTATTAAATTTATTAGTTCCGCTGATTATTTTACTAACGTTAACGTTATCATTATTAATATTACTAGGACTAAATTAAGTGATCACAGAGCCTGTCAAAATTATATATTTTTATTTTGCAAGTTGGTGTTGATTGTATGAGATATGGTTTTTCTTATATCGAGTGCCTTAGTTGTATATATGCTACAATTATCCGACAACCTCTCAGAAAGGTCTGTTTGTTGGATAACTGCAGAAACACTATTCGTTCATTGATTTTATATATTTTATTAAAACCGATACGACCGTGTAGCAATCACCCATGGTCTGTAATAAAAAATGAATAAAGTTCATTTATAATTTTGGATGAAATGTATGGTTTTTTGATTCAAAGCGAAGCAATGAATGTATTTTTTATACAATACTGAGTGTTTTTTATTTATTTGTGTATCTGCAATCTGTACACTAGCAAAGAAAAATACATCTATTTTTAACTTTGTAGATCTCTAGTAGCTTAAATCTCAAGTATATTAAAAATGTATCCTAAGTATACATAAACAGGAAAAAAAAATATAACTAGAATGTGATAAATGGTGCGTCTGATCGTCCAATTTTATAAATCATTATTGATCAGCCTAATCAAATCAAAATATCAATAAATAACTTGGTATATGAACAGATTGAGGTTTTAGAACATTTTAGAATTATTTTATTCAATAAAATAAGAGATAATGATTACAGAATGATTGTTCCGTAAAATAATTAAACAGGAATTTTAAGATACTCTTTACTCACCTTAAAAAACATCTCCAAGTTTACAATTTTCGTTCTAGTAAATTTTAACTTTTGGTAATGAGCATTATGCATTTTCATTGTTAATAAAATCATTTTTCTACACCTTATATCCATTTTGGTCCAATTGCTGCTGTACAATGCCAATACTATTGCATCTTTCTTTAATAAATAAAAATATAATATAAATTTAATATAAATTATTGATGAATATATCGCCAGAAGAAGGGGAAAAATTGGATGTACCATTGATAAGTCTTTTAGAGTATGCAAGCGACATAGTGCTTTTAAAGAACATTGAAAAGTCTATGCATAAGACTCATAGCAGCAGCAAAAAGAGTGGGCTTGCAAGTTGAAGAAGAGAAAGCAGAACATATGGAAATCAGAAGACATCTGGATGGAACCCAAACAGACGAGTTCTTAAAGGTAGGATCGTTTAGTTTGAAAATTAGTATCAGAATTAAAATTCCTAGGGACAATGATCATCCAGTCAAACAATATGGAGTATGCGAGATACTAAAAATTTACAATAATCAAGATTGAGGATTTTTGAAAGGAAAATATTAAGAAAGATACGCGGACCATGCCGCCACCAGTTATTTGGAAAATTTGGTAAAATAAATAAAGATGAGCTATGTAACATGAAAAACAGATTCGATTTATTTACTGAAACATAAATAAACTAAAACTGGAATTGACAGGTCATGTGTAGAGAACATTTGAAGCCATGATAAAGACGGTTCTTCAAGAGAACCTAAGAGGAAAGAAACCGAATGCGATGGGAGTATTGTGTCAAGAAGGATGTAGTAGAATTTTTCCCGGATGAAGATTTGCATATTATATAGGATCAAAACCGCCACGAATGGAGGCGTTTGTTTGCATGTGTAAGCTCAACGGCAGTAAACAAAAATCTATTAAAATCTTTTCAATCAATGACTTAATAATTTCTTGAAAATGATAGTAGTATTGGTACATCGTGTACTCGTAGTTCTTCCCAATCGTGAAGAAGAATTAACAGAGTTTTAATGATAAATATTTTATACTTGACAATGTATTTTGTTGATTTCATAGTTCTTACTCACATTACAAAGTAAAAAAGACACCTAAACGCTTTATATTTTTATTATTTAAATAATATAATATTGCATATCGTTACTATTCTTGATTTTTAATACAAGTTAAAAGCTTGCAATGCAAGTATCAACAATTCATCATTTGAAAAAAAACTCATTGTTTTCTTTATTATTATCTATGACTACTCATAAGACGTACATGCTTGATTAAAAAATATAGAACTCTAAAAAATTAATGCATTTCAATTTACTTGATCATGTAAATATCCAAATAAATAACACTCCATATATATCTGAAATGTATGTGGAGGGATTGAGCAAAGAATTATTGCTATTGTAACATCTGAACCCATTAATTTATCCACTTCGGAGAAACTCTGAAATAATTTTACTCTTTATAAGTTTGCTACTTTTTAACTAATTTATACATATCGAGCATACCTGAACTTCAATATTATATAACTTTCAATATTTTGTATGTTAATGGACAATGGGCAAAATGAAACGATTGATTATTTTATTTTATAAATTGTACTATATTTTATTTATTTATTATACTTAAACGAAATATTTTATTTACCTTATAAACTAAAATCATTTAAAAAAAATGCTTTTCGTGTTTATTATATAGATAACTTAAAGAAACATGTGATCCACAATCATGGCTTAAAACCGTTCCTGAAATTATAGGTAATCGGTCGAAAATTTTTTGGAAGCCGATTACCAGTTTTCTTGTTCTAAGAAGTGTTGTTAACCAGTTACTGGTTACCTTACTCCAGAATAATGTAGTGGCTACCGGTTACCGATTTTTAACGGTTTATGAAATGTGTAAATAACCGCTTACCGATTTTAAGTTTTAACCGGTTTAAATACCGTTTTTCACAAAATGTTTTTTGTTATCACTTATCAATTACGAATTATTTATAATGTGCTTAATGCTTATAATATGGACTAAGATATATCTATATATAGTATATTTGTATAATATACTCTTAACTAGTCTTAAGAGGATGTCAGCGCACCATTTGTTTTCTCTATCTGGCCCACGCGCGCAACATAGACAAAATGCATTTACGAATTACGAATTACTGTATTACGAGAAACGGTCAAATAGAGGAATACTAGTAATATGAAATAATCACTAATCAGCACAGCTATAAATATATTGTTTTTAATATACATCATAAATTCATAAACATATTAGTATTACCCGTATGGCGTATGTATGGTGTGTAGTGTGTACCCAGTATACGTATATTTTGACATGATGATTGTGTATAATATATAATTATATCATACACTTATAAGTTCAATATAACAGGCAAATGTTTTTCTACAAATAAAATATAAACTGAAATAACAATAAATGATTGGTAATTGGAACAAAAAAAATCTTTTCTGCATTATAATGGTAACCGGGTATCGCTAAATGAACGATTTTCAGAAATGTTGATAATTGATTTTTGGTATACGACTTTATAAACTTTTGGTAATCGGTTACCGATATCCGCTTTCCATACTGCAAATAAAACCGGTAAACGGTTTAGGGTTCTTAACATTTACGGTTTTTAACGGTTTTCGTGAAAAACCGGTAAACGGTTTTAAGCCCTGTCCACAATAAACATTTATTTCTTCAAAAATGTTGATATTTATAAAAACTAAAATTAATAGACATTGAAAAAAAAATTAATGCAATCTTTGAAGTAGCATTACATAATACTTCGTCTTCTTTTAATTTGTTTATTTCTTACATACATTAATATACTAGCATTAATACTAGTGAAAAAAATATATTTTGCCAATAAATATTTGTTTATTATTTATTTATACACATAAATAGAGTATTTGTGGTTGGTAATCTGAATTTGTAACTACTAAAGTAATCCTTTAGTTTGAGAAATAGGATGGATATTGAATTGCATGATGTGTAATTTTATAAGCGGAAAAGTAACTATAGTTGTACTTAGTTCGATTAGCTACTTCTAAAACATTATAATAATATGGATATCAAAATTTAAATTCATTAATTTCAAAAACTTTTTTATAGTATTCATTTCTATGATCTCGTTTGAATGGATAATAAAATGCATAGATGATAAATATAGATATGAGTTATATTGAACTCATATAATAATCGTGATGTAATTTAAGTTTAATGAAATTGTTTTACCATGATAAAAATGAACCAAAGTACGATGAGTGTTATTGACGAAACAACAATTTGCACCAATATTATTCGTCCAAAAAGAGTTAAAAAATCTTCATATTTCCTGCAAAAAAATAATGAATGCGTACATTGTATGTCATTTTTCTTACGTAAATTGCTCAAGATGTTTATTAGACAATGAAAAAATGTTTAAAGCTAGAAGATCCCATGTCCCCACAACCAAATAACTGAAATATTTTCACCATTCTAATAGTTGAACAGTAAATTCTCATGTTTCAAAATTGGCAATAAACTCTATATAGCGATATTATGAAGACTATAAAAAATAATTTGCATTGTAAGTCATCATTATTCTAATACTAACTTTTTCTTATTCACTAAACTTAACGTGATTCCACAAACCAAATTTGAATATCAAGTTTTTTTGCATACAATTGGGATTTGAATATTGGTAGGTTTACTCATTATACATTTAATAATGGTTGAAATATTCTTCATTCGAAGAACGCCTGGTGTACTGGCATAGGTCGAAGAACAGTTGGGTATACAGAGTCAAATGGATTAAGTGATACGAACATCTATTAATTAGATAATTTTGAAAATAAATTAAATTAAAAAATATACAGCTTATATATTATTAACATCGCTATCACCAAAAATCAAATAATTTAAAAAATTTTGTTAATTAAAAAATAATAACCATCATATTATATACTATGTTGATGGTCTATAATTTTATAGCTGAAGCCAAAGTTTAATTTATGCTTTTCCATCTAAAAAAACAATTGGCATGACATTAAAAATATGTAATATGTATACTGATCAATATTATCCCCGATGTAGGACTTAAGGTAGAGAATATTTGCATGCATATTTAAATAATTTAGAATTATTTTATAGCTAAGATGAAATAATATTTTATGATAATTTCATAAAAATAGAGAAATAATTCTTACTTCATAACTGCTTGGTAATCGATTACAACCGTTTTTAATTCACCATATAATAAATCGTTTTCGTTAGATTTATTTATTTTTTCATCTTTGTAATCTTAAATTCGACAAAACAATTATGTCAATATTTACCGTTGTTCGCTGACCAATTATTAAACCAACCTAATATGTAAGTGTACAGTTAATGTGTACATACGACATACCTCAAAAATTGTACTCACCAATTAGGGAATGTGAATCGTGAAACGATTCATGTCCGAGTGATTTGAACGCAATGCAAACCATTTTCATCTGACAGCACACAGCTAAACATAGTGTTACCAGAAGTATGTCAAATATGATGAATAACATTGCCACTGAGATGATGGAGAAGGCCTCCACGATATAAAATGTATTATAATGTGAGTTGTACGTTCTGTCAGAGACGATTAAATAGAAATTGAAGACGTTTAGGCGATAATGCATGAACGAACCGTCATGGTTTTTGATCGTGATCAATTCTCTACTGCATACTAAAGTGCTGCTGATGTAAAAGATTATCGACGACAAATATGCTATAGTAAACACGGTAGTTAACAACACCGAACGATTTCGACAAACTTCCAGTATTTTATGTCTGTCCTGGTGACAGAAAGATGTAAAACTGTAGCGAGTTATCGACAAACAGTTCCAAAAGTCGTTTGAGTGGTGGACGATTATCCACATCTTGTAACATATGAGCATAACACATTCCGCTTTCCAGAAAAAATCTACGCTTAAATACATATTAGACGTAAAATAATATAGACCGCTAACGTTCAAAATCATCGAAACAATACACGAGTACAGCACAATTAATGCTACGATAATGTGGTATATGTTTTTACCACGACATTTCACTGTTCCAGGATCCAATATTTGATATAAGCCTATTAGTTTGGCCAACCGAACGTTAAAAACATGGTTCTTCTCTTCCAAAGTGTCCATCAAAATATTTTAATATTATAATAACGTAGAGAAAATAATAATATTTTGTATTTTATACGACCATCGAAAAATATACATACATACCTATAGATATATCCGTTATTTTAGTCAGATTATAAAATGTTACCAAACTATAAATAGTATAAAATACGTACTCATGGTTGGTGAGTGTAACATTGTACATTTAAGCTGTTCATTTGTCTTTTGTGGTCTTTGTGTGAAATGGACTAAGGTGAATTATTAATTTTCATATTAGGTGGCTCTCCGATATACGCACTTAATTAGTATTATTTATGCATGACATTTTAAGGTTTAAAATAATTATTGTCACGCAATTAAATACCTACCACATACACCGAAGTCCTTTACCATATAATTTTCTTTACTATGTCATCTATAATAAATACATATTGCACTCCCACGTGACGTTCTATCCGTACTGGATGCATTACGCCTCTACGCTAATACGCGCATTCAATTTACAAAAAAAAAAATAATAATAAAGGAAATGCACGATAAAGCGTTTCTTTAAATAAAATGTTTTTTTAAATTTTGTATTGCAATTTTTATAATTTATTCATTGCAATAATAATACATTTTTTTTAAATATTTAAAAAAAACTGTTGGTAAAATACAATAATATAAAGTATTTGGCTCTTCTACCAATTACCTTAGAGCTGGTTAGGTTAGGTTAGGTTAGGTTAACCTAACCTAACCCTTTAGTGGCGTCGAACCAGAAAGCTACTGTATCGGGATGCACAGTTTTTCACAGTAAAAAATACAATAAAATCTCTGACAATATCGAGAACGTGTGACTAACAGTCCACCAGCTCAGATTAAGAACAAATATACACATTACAATTATTTCTCGCAGCTCCCTATTGTATGTGAAGCCAATTTTAACTCTATTATCGTACATTTGCAGTTCAACAGGTTGACTCGATGTGCTCCAATTTTTCGATCTCTGCCGGTGTTTCTCAAGGAAGTGACTTATCACCCGATCTATATAATATATATACATCAGATATTCCAAAAACAGCAAAAACGATCATAGAAACTTAAACAGTTGATGTAGTAATACCCTCCTCCAATTCAGACCATTTTCTATCTTCGAACTATCTCCAAAATCACTTCAACTCAATAAACACCTGTGTGGAACAATCAAGTGGAGAATTATAATAAATCCCTATAAATTTTTACGTCATGTGCCATTTGCACTGCGAAAAAACAACCTCCCCTCACTTAAACTTCAATTAGTTTCCGATATCGTATCAGGTAAAATATTTGGGAATTTTCCCAGACAAATTATTAACATGGGGACCACATTTAAAGTCCTAAAAAAAATCCCTAACAACCACCTTCATCTACTTAGGCTGATTCTCAAATCTGTTTATATTTAATATCAATACACACAAATTCCACATTGTTCAAATGTCTACTCAGACACATTTTGGTATGCAAATCTGAGGTGTGCCAAGCCTTCCTAAGTCCACACTATCCAAGCTTCCTAGTGCATCATTCTTTGGCTAATAGCCTCGGCTCCTTGGTACGCAACGAATGAAACCCTACATAATGATCTAAGAATTAAAACTGCTGACCAACCAACTAAATTGTACTATAATATTTTTCACTTTAAACTGCAACACCATTCAAATCCTTTACTCTCTCAAATAGCATTACGTACTCTTCCTGACAACCTACCACGCCGAATCAAAAGTCGGCGACGTGACCTATTAAATTAATAAATTAAAATAAATTACCGGAGGGTACCATCGCTAGATGATTTCATTCATCTTGTGCTTCATGTGCTATTTTTATTATGAACGAGACAAATTTTGTTAGAGACAAATTGATTAAGCTTTCTCGATAATTGCCGACCGATTGGTCGTATTTTTTAACCGGTATTATATCGTTCAACAATGCTAGGGAACTACCTACGTAAATCATCGGTTAAGTAAGTGACTGATAGAACAGTTGAAAATCACATCGAACATTCTCGCCAACTACCCAGTATATGTTTGTCTCGAGCCCCGGTGGCTGTGAGATGTAATAATACCGAATCTCATCGTTCACGTGATAGATAAACAGTTAAATATGTCGTCGGAGTGGTAGATGAGGACACACATCTAGTAGGACACGTACCAATCCAATAATAATCTATGCTTAAAGTCATATTGTCCTTTCAATAGTACACACCCCTTAAGGTCAACATCACTGAAATATCACTCACACTGAGCACAATAACGAATGCCGTAAAAATGTGGTATACGTTATGCACACGACATTTTATGGTTTCCGATTACAATATTGTATATGAGCCCATAAGTTTTGCTAATATTATATTCGAAACATGGTTTTGCTAGTCCTGCATATCCAGCATAAAAAAAAAATTTTCCTGTTGGCACTATAATAACTATAATGTGAAATAAACAAATAATATAATAATATTTATTAATGATACTTAACTTTTGATCGTTTTACTGCAATGAGTTATCATCACTTGCGAGTTTGGTGAGTGTAATATTAGTAATATTACTGACCACTTTGCTGTTCATGTGAGATATCCACAACTGTAAAGCTCATTGACCTATGATGGTAAAGCTCAAAATATTTATTGCCTCGGATGTAAATAATATCAACTATTCCATAGTATTTTAACAGTTGATTCTCACTATGTCATGTTGGAAACCATTAACAATATAAAAAAATATTACAATCAAAATTTAATATATTGAAAAATTAAGCAATTAGGTCTGTTTCAAATACAAATTTAAATGGGCCAGTTTACGACTACCGAGGAAACCAAGTAAAAAAAAACACTCCTAGCTACTACTTATTTATTATTGAGCTACTTATATCTTGCCAAGGGTGCTTTATTGCAGTTCTTACCCCTCATTAATTAATTGAATTGTATTCCTGTGAATTAATTAGCATTATTTTATGAACTTTAATATAGATATAGGTATTCAGCAGAACAAATAGTACCAAACGATAAACAGGCAGTACCAGTAATTTTCATTTATCCATATTTGATTACTTTTTAGATGCTACAGTTTTAGCCTTAAAGTATTTACGTATTACACTATTACACGTTTCACGTCACACTTTTGTACCTACCATAAATAGGCGATATGGAATAAAACTATCTAGATAAATACTATTTTAAAATAATTTAAATATCAAGATATTTAAATGTGTGTGAGGTATTGGTGTTCCAGACACGCAAACTATTTCTTTTACAACAGTAAGTATACAAAGTGCATTATTAAATAATACATAGATATTAAAATTTGTCGACGACTTTTTTATGACTTTTTTTTTAAAGTCTAAACCTATTATTATTGACTAAATATAAATAAAATGTTACGAACATTGGATTAACCTATTTTCTAAATCTTGGTAATTTATTGATAAACGTTTAATAAATTATTTGATACTTTATTACCTACTGAATATATTAATTCAATGATGCCAGTGTATTGTTGTTAATTGCCAACCTAAGAATACTGTTTTTAAGTCCATACTGTTGTCATTGTTAATTAAATATAAAAACATACTCCACGATAAAAATATTGCAAAAAAAGTAGTTGCTGCAATTAAGGGTTGCAAATTTGCAATGTTGTTGTTTTTTTATGCAGAAATTCAGTTTTGTATGCCGTATAAACTATAAATCAATAATTTCTGTTAATTTTACTAAAGTTGATATTTAATTTACTTATATAGATACTTATACAGTGTATTAGTAATGTATTTACAGATATGTATCATAAATCATATTTCAATCATATTCAATTTTGATTTAGATCAATTAAAACTCTCAAAAAAAATCAACTTCATAATTAAAAATGAAAAAGGGAGGTGAATATTTGAAAAAACTGAAGTTTGTATTGTCACAGGATCGTCTTTAAGTGGTACAAAAATTTCAATGACTCAAATCTGAATTTTAAAATATGCATAATAATATGATGAGCACGCCATCACCAAATATAAGTAACAGGAGATATACTTATTTATGAACTTGACAAAGAGAATAAAAAGGAAACAAACTGTATTTTTTTGTGCACACAAGCGATATATTTTATACAATTGTCTTCAGACAGAGGGCTGTATATTCTATATTTATTATTATTGCAATTAATAAATTATAAAAATTGCAATACAAAATTAAAAAAACATTTTATTTAAAGAGTCACTTTACCGTACATTTCCTTTATTATTTTATTGTAAATTGAATGCACGTATTAGCGTAGGGGCGTATTGCATCCAGTACGGATAGAACGTCACGTGGGAGTGCAATATGTATTTATTATAGATGACATAGTAAAGAAAATTATATGGTAAAGGACTTTGGTGTATATGATAAGTATTTAATTGCGTGACAATAATGATTTTAAACCTTAAACTGTCATGCATAAATAATTCTAATTAAGTACGTATATCGTAGAGCCACCTTATATGAAAATTAATAAGTCACCTTCGTCCATTTCACACAAAGACCGCTCGACTCATATGAACAGCTTAAATGTACAATGTTACACTCACCAACCATGAGTACGTATTTTATACTATTTATAGTTTGGTAACATTTTATAATCTGACTAAAATATCGGATATATCTATAGGTATGTATGTATATTTTTCGATGGTCGTATAAAATACAAAATATTATATATTTATTTTCTCTACGTGATTATAATATTAAAATATTTTGATGGACACTTTGGAAGAGAAGAACCATGTTTTTAACGTTCGGTTGGCCAAACTAATAGGCTTATATCAAATATTGGATCCTGGAACAGTGAAATGTCGTGGTAAAAACATATACCACATTATCGTTGCATTAATTGTGCTGTACTCGTGTATTGTTTCGATGATTTTGAACGTTAGCGGTCTATATTATTTTACGTCTAATATGTATTTAAGCATAGATTTTTTTTGGAAAGCGGAATGTGTTATGCTCATATGTTACAAGATGTGGATAATCGTCCACCACTCAAACGACTTTTGGAACTGTTTGTCGATAACTCGCTACAGTTTTACATCTTTCTGTCACCAGGACAGACATAAAATACTGGAAGTTTGTCGAAATCGTTCGGTGTTGTTAACTACCGTGTTTACTATAGCTTATTTGTCGTCTATAATCTTTTACATCATCAGCACTTTAGTATGCAGTATTGAATTGATCACGATCAAAAACCTTGACGGTTCGTTCATGCATTATCGCCTAAATTTCTTCAATTTCTATTTAATCGTCTCTGACAGTACGTACAACTCACATTATAATACATTTTATATCGTGGAGGCCTTCTTTATCATCTCATTGGCAATGTTATTCATCATATTCGACGTACTTCTGGTAACACTATGTTTAGCTGTGTGCTGTCAGATGAAAATGGTTTGCATTGCGTTCAAATCACTCGGACATGAATCGTTTCACGATTCACATTCCCTAATTGGTGAGTACAATTTTTGAGGTATGTACACATTAAAACGTACACTTACATATTGGGTTGGTTTAATAATTGGTCAGCGGACAACGGTAAATATTGACATAATTGTTTTGTCGAATTTAAGATTACAAAGATGAAAAAATAAATAAATCTAACGAAAACGATTTATTATATGGTGAATTAATAACGGTTGTAATCGATTACCAAGCAGTTATGAAGTAAGAATTATTTCTCTATTTTTATGAAATTATCATAAAATATTATTTCATCTTAGCTATAAAATAATTCTAAATTAATTAAATATGCATGCAAATATTTTTTACCTTAAGTCCTATATCGAATATAATATTGATTAGTATACAGTATACATATTACATATTTTCATGTTATGCCAATTGTGTTTTAAAATGGAAAAGCATAAATTAAATTTTGGTTTCAACTATAAAATTATAGAGCATCAACATAGTATAATATACTATTATGATAGTCATTATTTTTTAATTAACAATATTTTTTAAATTATTTTATTTTTGGGGATAGCGATGTTAATAATTTATAAGCTGTTCATTTTTTAATTTAATTTATTTTCAAAATTATCTAATTTAAAGATGTTCGTATCACTTAATCCATTTGACTCTGTATCCAACTGTTGCTCAATCTATGCCAGTACACCAGGCGTTCTTCGAATGAAGAATTTCAACCATTATTAAATGTGTAATGAGTACACCTACTAATATTTAAATAAATTCTATTTAATCTCAGTTGTATGCAAAAAATCTTGGTATTCAAATTAGGTGATGGAACCACGTTAAGTTTAATAGTGATGACTGATGAATGATGATTCATCACTGATGAAATACTACTTAAATTATTTTTATTGTTTTCATAATATCGCTACATATAGAGATCAACGCTTTTTCTGAAACATTGAAATTTACTGTTCAACCATAAGAATGGTGAAAGTATTTCTGTTATATGGTTGTTTGATGTGGGGTGTTATATCTTTAAAACACTTTATCTCTGTCTAATAAACATCATAAGTGATATATTTATAAGAAAATTACATACAATGTCTGCATTTATTATTTTTTCAGGAAATATGAAGTTTTGTTGACTCTATTAGGACAAATACTATTGGTACAAATTGTTGTTTTGTCATTAACACTCATCGTACTTTGGTTTATTTTTATGATGGTAAAACAATTTTATCAAACTGAAATTCCATCACGATTATTATATGAGTTCAATATAACTCATATCTATATTTATCATCTATGCAATTTAATATTCAATCAAACGAAATCATAGAAATGAATACTATAAAAAAGTTTTTGAAATTAATGAATTTATATTTTTATTATCCGTATTATAATATTTTAGAACTTTAGAAGTAATCGGTCTAAGTACAACTATTAAAATCCTGTTAGATTTTAACTCAAAACAATTAATACTTTGTTAGAGTATAGGGTATCCGGTGAATAGGTCGCGAACAATTGATCGCCGGTGAATTGGTCGCCGGTGAATTGATCGCGGGCGAATTGGTCGTGAATACAATTGGTCGCCAGGATAATTGATCGTCAAAATTGTTTTTAAAAAATAATAATTATATAAAAAATAATAAAAATAAAAATAATAATATTAATAATCATACATTTTAATTTATAATTATTTAAAGTTGGAGTTGAAAATTATGGGCTATTCCTTTTAAAAAGTCTATTTTACTCCTACTATGATAGTCGTCACATATTTTTATAATTTTTTCTGCGTGATCTTTGTACTTCCGTTTAACACCCATTGTCATTCCTGCAATTAGTTGTTCTATTTGTAACTTCATAAGACTCTCCTCCTTTTTGAACGAATCTATACATTTCCATATAGTTGGATGACATGCGTTCAGACTAGATGCAAAGCCATTATGCCACCCTTCAACAGAATTGTTGGTCCGGGGGATATTTTCGAAAATATATTTATGACAGTTCCACAGCGTCACTGGAAATAATGCTGGTTTCCTTCGATTTCTTCGATCAAGACGTCCAATCCACGTATCTTCAAAATAATTTGTCAAAGGTGTTAATATTTCTTCGTTCAGTGAATAAAACTCTGAGTCCAGTAGTTCGTTCCAAGCATTTTCTACATCCTCTTCTGGTACAAAGGTAAGTGCTGCCATCATTCTAATTTGCAAAGCAAATTCCGAGTCTTCCATGTACCTATTTTGGAATCCTAAATTTTGCAAGCGTCTCCAAATGCTTTGCGATAAATGAAAAAAGCACCCACGAACTGATGTGTTGGTAAAAACACTTTGAATCGCATTAATCGCAGCTTTTTCAAAATCAACCATAATTGATTTTGGATTTAATGATTCGTTCAATGTTTTTAATGCGTTGTAGAAATTAACGTATGTGGTTTCCGTTTTATTTGGTAGCAATGCAAATATTGTTGGAAAAACATTGTTAAATTGAATTCCGTGAACAGTGTAAATTTGGTAGAATAAATTTGGTGACGTAGAAAAAGTTCCATCAGCAAACCAGTGTTCACATTTTTGTAGAAGTTGTAGGTTTTTTTGGGTGGAGAAAATTAAAATTCTATTTTCAACAAGACCACTGTCAAACAATAAAAATGGGTTTCCGTCAAATGTTGATCTATAATCGTCTGGTATGATCAATTCTAATAAAGTTTTTGGGTTTGGCGGAGCAGCTTGTTCTTTTTGTCGAATACGACGTACTGTTCTCTTTAAGATAGACACTGATGGCATTTGCCCTGCAGCAGCACTTGTCAACTATCCAATCATAAAAAAAAACCATACTTTTAAATTTAATCATATAGATATATTTTATAGTAATTTTATTATTAAGAGAATGAATACGACCTTTACATTTCATTTTTTTATATTGGTCACATTTCCATATTGACTTTTCTTCGCTTCCAAATTTTTCAAACGTATACATATAGCCGTTATAAATTAATTTATCTTTGCCTTTTTCACTCTTTATGAACTCCATTATTATAAAATAAAAAAACAGAAAACAGAAAACACACACGTACTATATAGCATCCACTAACAAATGCAAGTATGTAATGACAAATTGGTACGACCATCGGAATATAGATGTCGATAAGTCGATAACGATCGTATAAGCTTATCTAAGTTATTGCCACGCTAGTTCAATTATCTCGTGTGTACCTATAAGATTATTATATCTGTTAATCTGTACATCGTAAATTGGATTTACTGTACGTTATTTAAAAATAAATAAGAGTATTTTCTAAAATAATAAACATAAAACTCGGATATGTATATTAAATATTAACTACCTATGTAATTAGTATAATAAAAAAATTTAAAAACTAAAATTGTTCGTTTGACGATCAATTAGTATAATAAAAAAAATAAAAAACTAAAATTGTTCGTTTGACGATGAATTATCCTAGCGACCAATTATATTCACGATCAATTCACCCGCGATCAATTTACCGGCGACCAATTCACCGGCGATCAAATGTTCGCGACCAATTCACCGCGATCCAGAGTATAGTTACTGTCCGCTATAAAATTACACATCATGTAAGACAATATCCGTCTTATTTCTCAACCTAAATGATTACTGCAGTAGTTCCGAATTCAAAATACCAACCACAAATACGCTATTTAAGTGTATAAACAACTAATAAACAAATGTTTATTGGCAAATAAAACGAAGACAAAGTATTATGTAATTCTACTACAAAGATTGCATTAATTTTTTTTTTCGACGTCTTTTAATTTTAATTTTTATAAATATCAACATTTTTGAAGAAATAAATGTTTATTGTGGATCACATGTTTAACAACTTTTAAGTTATTTATATAATATACACGAAACGCGTTTTTTAAAAATGATTTTAGTGTATAAAGTAAATAAAATATTTCGTTTAAGTATAATAAATAAATAAAATATAACATAATTAATAAAATAAAATATCAATCGTTTCTTTTGCCCATTGTCCATTAACATACAAAATATTGAAAGTTATGTAATATTGAAGTTCAGGTATGCTCGATATCTATAAATTAGTTAAAAAGTTGCAAACTTATAAAGAGTAAAATTATTTCAGAGTTTCTCCGGCGAGGATAAATTTATGGATTCGGATGTTGCAATTGTAAAAATTCTTTGCTCAATCCCTGCACTTTCATTTCAGATATATATGGAGTGTTATTTATTTGGATATTTACACGATCAAGTAAATTGAAATGCATTATTTTTTTAGAGTTCTATATTTTTTGATCAAGCATGTACGTCTTATGAGTAGTCATAGATAATAATAATGAAATCAATGAGTTTTTTTTCAAATGATGAATTATTGATACTTGCATTGCGTCATTGCAAGCTTTTAACTTGTATTAAAAATCAGAAATACTTACGATATGCAACATTAAATTATTTAAATAATAAAAATATAAAACATTTAGGTGTCCTTTTTACTTTGTAATGTGAGTAAGAACTATGTAATCAACAAATACATTGCAAAGTATAAAATATTTCTCATTAAAACTCTGTTAGTCTTCTTCACGATTGAGAAGAACGATGAGTACACGATGTACCCAAACTAAAATAATTTTCAACAAATTATTAAGTCACTGATTTAAAAGATTTTAATGGATTTTTGTTTACTGCCGTGGAGCTTACACATTAAAACAAACGCCTCCATTCGTAGCGGTTTTGATCCAATATAATATGCAAATCTTCATCCGGGAAGAAATCTGCTACATCCTTCTTGACACAATACTCCTATCGCATTCGGTTTCTTCCCTCTTGGGTTCTCTTGGAGAACTGTCTTTATCATGGCTTTAAATGTCCTCTACACATGACCTGTCCATTCCAGTTTTAGTTCCTTTATGTTTCATCAACTAAATCGTGTCTGTTTTACATGTTACATAGCTCATCTTTAATTATTTTACTACATTTCCCCAATAGCTTGTGGTGGCCAGGTCCGCGTGTCTTTCTTAATATTTTCCTTAATATTTTCCCATACTCCATATTTTTTGACTGGGTGATCATTGTCCCTAGATATTTTAATTCTGATGATAATTTGAAACTATACGATCCTACCTTTAAGAATTCGTCTGTTTGTGTTCCATCCAGTTCCAGATGTCTTCTGATTTCCATATGTTCTGCTTTCTCTTCTTCAACTTGCAAGCCCACTCTTTTTGCTGCTGTTATGAGTCTTATGCATAGACTTTTCAATGTTCTTTAAAAGCACTATGTCGTTTGCATACTCTAAAAGACTTATCAATGGTACATCCAATTTTTCCCCTTCTTCTGGCGATTTATTTATTAATAATTTATATTAAATTTATATTATATTTTTATTTATTAAAGAAAGATGCAATAGTATTGGCATTGTACAGCAGCAATTGGACCAAAATGGATATAAGGTGTAGAAAAATGATTTTATTAACAATGAAAATGCATAATGCTCATTACCAAAAGTTAAAATTTACTAGAACGAAAATTGTAAACTTGGAGATGTTTTTTAAGGTGAAATAAATTTTTAATATATTTGAGATTTAAGCTACTAGAGACCATCCACAAAGTTAAAAATAGATGTATGTGTCATTGCTAGTGTACAGTTTGCAGATACACAAATAATGAAAAAAACTCAGTATTGTAAAAGAAATACATTCATTGCTTCGCTTCGAATCAAAAAACCATACATTTCATCCAAAATTATAAATGAACTTTATTCATTTTTTATTACAGACCATGGGTGATTGCTACACGGTCGTATCGGTTTTAATAAAATATATAAAATCAATGAACGAATAGTGTTTCTGCAGTTATTCAACAAACAGACCTTTCTGAGAGGTTGTCGGATAATTGTAGCATATATACAACTAAGGCACTCCATATAAGAAAAACCATATCTCATACAATCAACACCAACTTGCAAAATAAAAATATATTATTTTGGCAGACTCTGTGATCACTTAATTTAGTCCTAGTTATATTAATAATGATAACGTAATTGTTAATATAAGAATCAACTGAACTAATAAATTTAGTAATCTTTTCATGGATACTCTTGGGCAATACATAATTTTAGTAATGAAACAGAGGTCATGAATGACCAGGAAAAGCCAATATTCCATATCAACGGAACCTCTGCAGTATAAAATCAGACAAATATATATAAAAAATGATCTAAAACCGAGGTAAAAATAAATGGCTAAACAAATGACTAAAAATGAACACTAAATTAAACGAAAGAAAAAGAACAACAGAAAAATGGAATAACCCAATGTTTCACAAAAAGAAATGAAGTTGTGTTAAATCGCTCCAGAATAGGTCATACGCACTATATATACACATGGCCACCTCATGAAAATAACAGAAATCAAGAACAAGCCATACATGAGGATATCGTACATAGATCAAACACATAATTACTGAATGTAGAGACACACAAGAGGCTGACGAAAATACAACACACATGAGCACCTTCACGACGCTTTGGGCCCCGATGAAGAATCCATCCAAAATATATTATTTTTTTTGAAAAATATTTAACTGTACAGTTTTGTTTAAATTATTAATGTACCTTTGTGTAAAACAAGCTAATTATTACGCCATTGAAGCTTTCTTTTTTAATAATAATAAAAAAAAACTATGAATGATTTATCTTGTTTATGTTTTTTCTGAAATGTAGTTAAGTTTTACTTTGCTACTGTGTAATTATTGTATATACAACTAAACTAATTTTGTGATACTATTCACGAAGTTGTACTACCGTCTACCTACCTATGTCTAAACAGATTCTCAGAGTAAATTTTTATTTATTTTTTTATTTTTATTTTTTAAGAAAAATACAATCTATACACATAGTCTGTACAATAAGTCATTGAGATAACAATAGAAATTGACATAACATGATTCACATGATAGGGGAAGTTACCCACTGGTTATACCCATCACACAAATATTTAGATTTTATTATATTATATATCTAGGTGTAGCAAGGATAATTGTATAGTTGATGTTGCTATTGTTGTTGTTTTTTTTTCTTTTTTTTTCAGAGTAGTAGGTCACGATTCCAGTTTCTTTTCAGTCTACGTGGAGGTTGATCAGGGATAAGATTTGAGGACATTTTTTGAATTAGGTGATTAATGTTCGATGGCAGTTTTATGTGAAAGGATTTATAGTGACGTTTTGAAAGTTTACTTACTGTTTCGATTTGTAAGTCGTTATGAATATTTTCATTCGTTACATACCAGGGGGCACCAGTGATGATTCGAAGGGCTATATTTTGAAATGACTGGATAGGGTGGATGTTTGAAGGTTTGGCTGGTCCCCAAATTTGGATACCATAAGACCACTGCTATGGGTCTGATAACGGTTTTGTATAATAGTATTTTAAGTTTTAGTTTTAGTTTGGATTTTAGGAGAGGCCGAAAAAGGTGGAGTCTGCTATTCGCTATTTTTATTTTATTTTTTAGGTGAGGGCCCCAAGTTAGGCGTTTGTCAAGTATTATGCCGAGATATTTGGTTTCATTACTGACAGGAATATTAACGTTATTTAATTTAATTAAGGGACAGTTGCCATGGCGAAGGGTAAAAGTAACTTGAGTTGACTTGCTTTCATTTATTTTAATCAACCAGTTTTTACACCAGGTTTCAATTAGGCTAGTATGATGTTGTAGATTGTGTGCCGCTATAGAAATATCATCGCTTGTGGACAATAGGGCTGTATCGTCAGCAAAGGTGGCTAATAGTGTGTTGGGAGTTTGTGGAATATCGGCAGTGTAAATATTATAAAGATCAGGCGCTAGATCACTACCTTGGGGCACTCCTGCAGTGATGTTGAATCGAGGCGAAAATGAGTTTCCTTGTCTAACAGTGAAACTTCTATTTTCTAGAAAAGATTTGATGATTAGGAATAATAGAGCTGGCATGAATTTTTTCAATTTAAATAGTAGCCCGTCGTGCCAGACCTTATCAAAGGCCTGAGCAACATCCAGGAAGAGTCCAGCACAGTATTGCCTTCTTTCTAAGGCAGAGGCAATTGAGTCAGTGAGCCGATGGACTTGGTGTATAGTGAAATGTCCTGGTCGAAAACCAAATTGGGTGGTAGGTATGATTTGATGCTCGTATAGGATGGGTCGAATTTGGAGAAGAATCAATTTTTCGAACAATTTGCCAAGCGTTGGTAAGAGACTGATGGGTCTATATGATGAAGCTAAGTTTTTTGGTTTCCCAGCTTTTGGTATAACGATTACGACCGCATGTTTCCAGATGGTGGGAAAATAGGAAAGCCGCAGCATTGAGTTGTAAATATGTGTTAATGAGAGGATACATTTTTTTGACAGGTTTTTTAAAACTTTGTTTGTGATTATATTATGCCCAGGTGCTTTACGTGCAGGTAATTTCTTGATAAGACAACAAATTTCGTTGGGTGAAATTGATTTTGTAGGAGGAGACATTGGTAGGGGAGAAGAGATAAACTCATTAACTTGGCTCAAGTGTTCAGGATTCGGAAAAATGTCTTGGTGAGGCTTGAATGTATTAGCTAGATGTTCGGCAAAAATAAGGGATTTTTCTTCGTCTGTTGATGCTAATAAATTATTATTTGTGAGGAGAGGTGGAATGATTTCTCGGATTTTAGTTAATTTTTTTGTGGCTCTCCATAAAGAATTGGGAGTGGGTTCTAAAGAGTTGCTATAATTCTCGTACTGTATGGCTATGTGCTTGATAAGTTCTTTTTTTAGAAGATTTGAAAGGTGATTAAATATTTTTTTGTCGCTGGGGAGACGAGAATTTTGCCATGTAGATCTCGCATTTCTTTTTTTGTTTAAAAGGAGTCGCAAGTTGAATGGGAGAGTGTTTTGGGGTTGTGAATTAATGGAGGTGGGTTTAGTTGAGGAAATAGCTGCTTTTTTTATAATTTCAACCAAGTTTTGTGCTGCATTTTCGACTTGATATTGGGGTTTAAGTGAAACTCTAAGATCTATTAAATTGTCAAGATTAGTTTTGAATAAATCCCAGGCGATGGGTCCTTTGGTGAGTGAGAGCCGATCATTTTGTTTGGGTGATCCACCAATTGTGAGAATTACGGGGGTGTGGTCACTGGAGATATGACAGATATTACTGATATCTGTATTAAGATGGTTTGGGATATTTGTTATGAAGAAGTCGAGTATATCTGGGTTACGATTTGAATGTGAGGGCCAGTAGGTGGGTCCAAGTGGGGACACAAACGACAGATTACAATTATTAAGGACAGAGTGGAGTGTTTTTCCTCTTTGGTTATCGGAGATACAGCCCCATTGGGAGTGCTTAGCATTGAAGTCGCCTCCTGCTATGAAATGATGGCCTAGAGTATTGAAGAGACGGATGAATGTGTCGCGTTGGATGGCATGGCGAGGTGGGCAATATATGGAAGATACGGTTATTGGAATACTATTTATTTTTATTAAAATGCTAGTTGCTTGAATAGAGGACTCTTGGAAAGAGGTTAATATATTATGTTGGACGTAGTTGGATACTAAAACACAGGAACCTGCGTGTGCTGTTCCATCGGGATGATTTGTTTTATAAAGTGTGTAATTGACGATACTAAATTTGGTTTTTTCAGTGAAATGTGTTTCTGTTATTAGTGCAATATCTATTTTTAAATCATTTAATACTGTTTGAAGTTCATTTTTTTGTTTTGGAAGACCATTTGCATTCCACAGTAGGATTTTTAGCGGAGAAGATGCATTTGGTTGATTGTTAGTCATTTTTTAGGATGATTTTGTTAATAACTGTAGTTAGTAGCGATATTAGGGGATTGATAACTGATTTAAGATCTGATATGAAGAGTGAAAAATGTTTTGTTAAGTCATTGATGTTAGTAGCAGTATCATTATTATATTTAGGGGTGTCATTTTGGTTCGTGTTTTTTAATACATCTGCATAGTTTGTATTGAAATCGGTCTTATTAGAGCAATTTAGGGGAGGGTCGTTACCAGTAGGGACTTGAACATTATTTTCTTTATAAAGTGTTATATTTGATTTTTGTGTATGGCTTGGTATATTAATTAGTTTTGAGTTGGTATTTTTTTGCTGTTGGTAACTTTTGTAGGCTGGGCATCCTCGATAGTTGGCTGGATGGGGTCCTCCGCACAATGTACATTTAGGTGGCTCATCTTTGGGTTTGGGACATTCATTTGTCGAATAATAACCGTCACATTTTAAGCAGCGGGTCTGGTAGTTGCAATAGTGCTTTGTGTGTCCGAAGTTTTGGCACCTATGGCATTGCGTTAATTGTTTTTTCGGGCGAGGTTCTTCGAATTTGACTACTGAGTGGCAAATTAGGTTTATTTTGAATATGTCGTTGTTATTTGGTTCGGGTTCAAGATCCACGAAGAAGAGAGGAAGCGATTTTTTTGTTTGATTCTGTAGAACGTTTGTAACTTGCTTAACTTTGAAACCATGATTTGATAATTCGTCTTTAATAAAGTCATGGGGAGTAGACTGATGTAAATTACGGAGTACTACTCGGAATGCTTTTTCGTATTTGATCTGGTAGGTGTGGAAATTGACTTCTTTCGATTTAAGTAATTGGACAGCTTTTCTGAATGTATCGGGTGTATTTAATTGTAGTTTGATTCCTGATGTGTTACTCTTGCAAGTAAAATCATCAGTGTCGCAACAAAGTTTAATTGCAGTGCAAAATTTAAGAAAATCGACATTGGATTTTATAAAAATAGGTGGTGGTTTGTGGATTATGGGTTCGGTTTGTTCGGTCGTTTCCATATTATGATCATCTTCGATGTCGAGATTAGCGTATC